GGTGATCATCTTTGTGAGTGTGTGTGTGTGTGGACATGTGTGTGTCTGTGTTAGTTTGTTCGAGTGAGCGCGCGCACCTATTACGGGGTGCATGTATGTATTCATGGGCGTTTGCACAAATATATATATAAATTAATTATCGTATCCATGAGATATTTCTATAACATATAATATCTCTCTTGGTGACCCAGCCCATTTCAAATTTCCATCTCAGCTCTCAGGGGGAATAGACCGCTGCAGCTTTTAAAAAACGATATCAAGCCTCCCAATCTTCGTCCGCGGCTAAGTGGTTTGAAATCATTCTTTTTCGCTTAATGTGAGATTTTATTGCAGGGATCTTTTTTCTAAGTAGGCTTTTCTTTTGGGTGTTTATCAATCTGCCTGTCTGTCTGTCTCGGTCTATCTATCTATCTATCTATCTATCGATCTATCGATCTATCTATCTATCTATCTATCTATCTATCTATCTATCTATCTGTTTTTCTCTCCTTTCTCTCTCTCCCTCGCTCTGCGACTCTTTCTTTTTTCTCTGTGTTTCTCCCCTCCCTTTTTAACTGTTTCATGCTCTCCCCTTTTTTCTATCTAATTCTCTTTCTATCCCCCCCCGCCCCCCACTTCTCCCGTTCTCCCGTCTTACACTATCTCCCCTCTCTTTACCTATCTCTGTCTCTCCCTCTCCACCCCATCCCCTCTCTCTCCGTCTCTCTCTGTCTCTCTCTCTCTCTCTCTCTCTCTCTCTCTCCCACCAAGACTCCAAGCCTTCCCGCAACATAGCGTGCTACAACGCGTGAGTCATCGTGGTGAAATCAGACGCTCATCCAAATAATAAAATCGAAGAAATCAGAATTTCGGCTCAACATCTTTCATGTCCATATAAAAACTCATTCCAGTATAGATTTTTGTTGAAATAAAACGTTGATTACAGGCACACAATAAGTAAATTTGCAGTTTCAAAACCCTCAAACTTTAGAAGTCACTCAAATTTGGAGGCCATTTTCTCCCCAATTTTACCTTGAAACCAGGAAACCCCCATCTCCTTTAAACACAAATATTTCGAGTAATATTCAAGATAGATGGCTATAATTTTCATTGATATCAAGACAAATAAGCAGGTTTTAAGATAATAACAAAATATTTTCAAAAATTGACGAGTGTCTGGTTTCACTGCGTCTCGACACACGCGCACATGCGTGCTCAGTGAAATTAAGACTTCACGTGAGGCAAATTGACAAACAGCCCAAAAGCTTTGGCCATCGCTGTTTCTGCATCTTTTTGTTTTTCTTCTTTTTGTCTTTCTTTGCTTAATTATAATATAGACGCGGTTGTACATCTGGGGATGAGCAAGTTGAAGTCTAAGTATGTTTTCAGGTATGCACAAGAGCGGACAGTGAATGGACATTAGACGGACTGTCGAAACTTATGTAGACATTCTGGGAACTGTCGAAAGTGTCGACATTAAACGAAACTCCGCAGAGTGAATTTGTACTGAGGGGTGTAAAGGCAAGAGGTACACGCACGCACACACACACACGCACACACACACATACACACACACACACACACACGTACGCACACACACACACACGCGCACACACACACACACACACG